GGTGGGGGTTGCGGAGGACCAGTGCGAGGGTGTTGTGGGCGGGCGGCTGGCGGGCGGACGTGGTCAGTGAGGCCGTCTGTGTCTGGGTTCTTTGTGAGGGCAGGAGGTGGTGGTCGTGAGGAGGAGCAGGGGGGCAAGGGTCAAGGGGGAAGGGGCGCGAATCAGGCGGTGGAGGCGGAGCGCAGGCGCAGGCGCAGGCAAGCGCGCGCGGTGGTTGTCCGTCTCCCAGACCGTCCGCATGATGGTAATTCCCGCGGCCGGTCTGGAAGGAGGGCTTGCCGTGGAATCTCTTGCTTTCCGCCAGATGGAGGAGGATCGAGGTGGGGGCGGGGTTGGTTCCGCCAGCGAAAGTGGAGGTCTGGGGGAAACGGCTGCAGTCGGCGGAGCCCTTGTTGGCGGAGCGGGGGAGGATTATCGCGCGGGATCGCAGCTGCTAATCCACGGCGCAGAGGCGGCGGCCTCTCTCAAGCAATCTGGTAATGATCCGCGGTACTTGGCGTTATTGCGTTTTCTGAAAAGCCTCGCTACGCATGTGCCACGTGGAGCTGCTAGCGATGACGTTGGCGTTGGCGATGACCAGGAAGCGGGATTGGGATCGCCAGCGCTGCTTCCGCCCACCGCAGCAGAGGAGGGGAGTAATGGCGGCGGGGAGGTTTTGGCGGGAAACGACCACTGCATTCCCGGGAAGAACGGCCAGATCGGATCTGCGGGACTGCCTGACGTGGATGGCGGGAAGACGAAGAAAGGATCGTCAACGACGACCATGGAGAAGAAGGAGGCGGCGATGGCGGGAGGAGGGGGAAGGACGGAGGGAGAGCACATTGGCAAGAAGGCGGGAAATGATCGAGACGGCGCGCGCTGCGACCAGAGCAAGACGACGGAGGTGATGATGATGACGATGATGACGATGCCCAAGCCAATGATGAAAAAGGAGGAGGAGGAGGAGGAGGAGGATGTCACTGAAGAGAGCAACCAGAAAGGTAGTGAGCATGGTGGAAATGGCGGGAAAAGTGATGAGCGTGCGCGGGAAGAAGGAGGTGATTGCAATGGTAGAGATGGGGAAAGGGTAATGGAGGAGGGGAAGGAGGAGGGGAAGGGGGGGGAGGAGGAGCAGGCGGGCGGGGGGGGGGGGGGGGGGGGGGGGGGGGGGGGGGGGGGGGGGGGGGGGGGGGGGGGGGGGGGGGGGGGGGGGGGGGGGGGGGGGGGGGGGAGGAAGAGAGGGGGAGGAGGAGGTCAAAGAGGAGAAGGAGAGGGGAGGTGGTGACCAGGAGATGGAAGAGCAGATGGCTATGGCGGATGCAGAGACAGATGGCAAACAGATGGCACGAGAAGGTGGGAAGAAAGAAGGAGAGGGAGAGGTGGAGGAGGAGGAGGAGGAGGACGGATTTGGCGGGAAGGTGGCCCTCGGTGGGGAGGAAGAAGGCGGGAGAGAGCGACTGTCTGGATCGCAATCCAGGTCGAAATTGCCAGCAGGTAATGAAGAAACGATGAGCGCCGGCGATGGCGTAGAGGCAGGTAAGAGGAGAATGGAGATCGAGAAGGAGAGAGGGGGCGGACCTACAGAAGGAGGAGGGCAAGGAGGGGGAGGAGGAAGCGGAGGAGGAGGAGGAGGAGTGGGAGGAGGAGGAGGAGGGTGCGCAGGAGGTCGGGGTGGGGGAGAAGAGAAGGGAAAACTGCCGCGCGGAGAGACAGAAGCGTTGGGAGAGGGAGGTGGAAAGGTCGGAGGAGAGGGAGGCAAGGAAGCTGTGGAGGAGGGGGAGGAAGAAGATGAACCCTTGCTCCGTCCTGAGCAGATTGCGAGGATACGAGCGCAAAGGTTGGCTCTCAGTTACGTCTCAAGAAACGTGAAGATGCCGCCACCGCTGCTAGGAGCGATCTTGGGGAAGAAAAATGGGGTAAGATCATATATATATATGTCTGTGTGGGGTAAGATCATGTATATTATATGTGTGTGTGTGTGTGTGGATAAACTATGGATAAACCATGGATGAAGTTTGGGTAAACTATGAATTCAGAGAAATGGGACAAGATCATAACTATGGATAAACAAACCATGGATGAAGTATGGGTAAACTATGATTGTAGAAAAATGAGGTAAGAGCATATATAAATTTATACACGTGGTCACAGCCCCTCGTTTGATGTCCTCTTCTCTCTCTCTGCCTACGGTTTACCGAGCAGTTCTGTTTGTGACGATATATGTATGTATATACAAGGATAAACTATGGACAATGGTATGGATAAAGTATGGATGAAGTATGGATAAAGTATGGATGCAGAAAATGGGGGTAGATCATATATAAATGTATATACATGACTAAATAACTACGGACAAAAGTATGGATAAAGTATGGATAAAGTATGGATGAAGTATGGATGAAATATGGATTAACAGTGAATTATTTGAGGGTTGATGTATTTTGAGGCGCTTTTTTTTTCTTTTTTTGGGGATCTTCTTTTGTTATTTTAAAGAATAGGGTAAGAACATATGAACGCAGATGGTTAAACTACGGATCAACTATGGATACACAGTGAATTAATTGGGGGTTCGTGTTTTTCTCCCCCCCCCTCTCTCTCTCTCTCGGAGCGATATTGGGGACGATGAGTGGGGTATAAGAGCATATATGAAAAAACTGTCGATTTAAAAAAAGAACAAAACTGTGGATTCATTATGGATGATCAACACAATTGATGAACACTGGATTAATTAAGGGTTCAAAATTCGCACGTTTCTTTTTTTTTTTTGTTGGTTTCCCTCACAAATATAATGCTAAGACCGATATGATAACACTATGGATAAAGTATGGATAAAGTATGGATAAATTATGGATAAAAAGTGGATGGACTATGGGGAACAAGTGGATGGACTATGGTAAAAAAGTGGATAAAGAACGAATAAACTATAGATAAACTATGGAGGAACTATGGCTAAACTATGGATAAAATATGTTTAGACTATGGATAAACTATGGATAAACTATGGATAGACAAAGGATAAACTATGCTTAAAAGAAGTGGATTAACTATGTTTAAAAAGTGGATTAACTATGAAAAAAAAAAAAAAAAGGTGGACTAGCGATGGATTCATTGGTTTTTTTGGGGTTCACCCGCCCCCCCCTCCAAAAAAAAAAAAAAAAAAAAAAGAACCCCTCGATGAATTAAAAAACCCACTCGGCATTATTATTAATTACCGGATTACAACTCGATTCTTTAAATCGAGAAAAAAAAATCCCCATGATGTCGTCTAGCTAACCTGCACGCAGAACCTTGTCCCGACCGTTATCTTTTCTGTTTTTGTTGTCGTCATCCTCTGCTGCAATGGCACGAGGACACGTGTCTAACACACTAATTGTCAACCCATAAATATCGTCATTGATTTCTGTATTTATCCATCGTATATCTATTCTTGTTGTTGTCATCCTCCGTGGCGATGGAACGATGACAGGTGGCAAACAACATCGTTTGATTGCCAATCAAAGTATTATAATCGTGGGGAGGGCGAAGAAGATTAAAAAAAAAAAAAAAAAAGGTCGTGGGGCGGGCGAAGACACGGGCAAGAATGATTGATATTTGATTTGATATGTCTTCGAAAAAAAAAAATAATTATTTTGTTAACGGGTAAGAATTTGTTGATGATGGAATGAGGAAAGGGGCGCATGAAGAGGGATTTTTTTTTAT